GGCCTACTGCCGGGTGCGGGAGCCGCCCGGTCGCCTCCAGGGTCCTCCCCTGCCCAGCGGCTGTCCTGCTTCCAACTGGCCAGGAGAGGGCGGGATGCTCGCACCCGGGCTCGGGGTGGGGCTGTGGGGGCGTCCCGCCGACCTCTCGGTTTGAGTGGGTGCTGTGCGAACTACCCAAGTACCTGTTGGGATCGCAGAGGGACAGCCGAGGGGGCGCAGACGGAGCGTGATGGAATGGGGCGGGGAGGGAGGGCAGGGGCCTGCAGTGTCGTTTTATTAGTGGGTCTCACCGAGACCTGCGTGGGGACGGGCGGGGGCGAAACAGGCGAAGGGTAGGACTGGGTGTGTGTGCGTGCGTGTGTGTGTGTGTGTGTGTGTGTGTCTGTCTGTCTGTCTGTCTGTCTGTCTCGGGGGAGTGTGAGCATTCCTTTGGGGCAGGAAGGAGCTTCAGAAAGGTAGGAGGAGGAGGAGGCGAGGGCCTCTGGGGGCGGGGGCAGTGGACGCCGCGCAGCCACCGGGACAGTAGCGACTGCCTACGTGGCTGGGGAGGGGGGGCTCTGGTTCCACACCTCTCAGCTCAGGGTCCTAGAGGCCCGCGAGTTTTGCTGGTCATTGGGTCTCCCCCACTCCCCCACCTCACTTCACCATCATGGACACCCTGTCTCCTAGTCTGAGCCCCCCCACCCCCGGACCCTCCACCCATGTCCCGCCCACTCCCAGGTCCCACACTTCCCTTTCCTTAGGTACCAGACTCAGGAGAGGCCCAACGTTTTGGTTTCCTGCGGGTGGGCGGAGGGTCTGCAGGTTGGGAGGTGGGCCAGTTCTGGTTGAGCCGTCTCCCATAAGCCTCTGAGGCAGCCCCCGCGTGTGTGGGGAGGGCGAGAAGGTCGGAGGGTAGAGGCCTGACTCCCCGCATCGGACTCTGATGCCCTCCCCGCTCCTCAGCTGAAGAAGTTGGACCTGGCAGCGGCCGCAGCACACACCTTCTTTGTAGCAAACCCCACGCACCTGCAGATGCGGGAGGACATAGCTAAGTACCGGAGAATGCCGAAGGTCCCGCCCCAGAGCTTCAGGGACCTGGAGTCTCCGCCACACTGGGTGAGAGCCTCCTGCCACCTCCCTTGCCCCAGCCTTTGGCTGGCTGGGTAGGCTGGCCTCACTGGGCTGTGGCCTTGTGCAGCTGCAGGAGCTCTGGGGACAGGTCCACAGTGGCTCAGTTCTCCATGATCACCAGCCGCTGATGCCCCGCTGAGTTTGTCTTTTAATGAGAAAGAGAACGGGAGGGAGACAGAAATGGATGTTTTTGACGGCTTCTCTGCATGTCCCATCCTCTGCCCTACCCTCCCAATTAGCTAGGATCACAGGGGTGTGTCACTGGGCACCAGGAACCACCCCCCACCAATGTTCTAACATTATCATTCTGAGGCCCACCCCCGTTCTCCCCAAGCTGAAGTAAGACCGTCCCTCTCCTTTCTTCCTGCCAGCCTTGTTCGGTCCCCCACCCCCAGGATCTCAGCTGACTGACCGCTCCCCTCCCCACAGGCAGCCTATGACACTGGCCTGGAGCTCCTGGGGCGCCAGGAGGCAGGGCTGGCCCTGCCCAGGCTGGAGGAGGCCCTGCAGGAGAGCCTGGCCCAGATGGAGAGCTGCAGGGCTGGCTGCGAGGGGCCAGAGGAGCAGCAGGCAGAGGAGGAGGAAGGAGGGGCCAGCAGTCACAGTGGCCTCTACGAGGCCATTGCAGGTAAGGGGCCACTGCAGGTAGGGGGTCGGGAGCGTGTGCACGGGGGAAACACGCATGCACTGTGTGGCTCATGCGTGCCCTCCGCAGGACACTGGATTCGGGTCTTGCAGTGCCGGCAGCGCTGCGTGGGGGACACAGCCATGCGTCCTGGCCGCAGCTTCCCTGTCCCAGACTTCCTTCCCAGCCAGCTGAGGCGGCTGCACGAGGCCCATGCTCAAGGTCAGCTAGGGAGGAGCGGGCCCTGGGAGCAACTGGGGTGGACATGGGAGTGAAAATTCTCTTCCAAAGGTGTCCTGAGCCCTGTCTCTTTCCCCTCCCCACCTGTTGCTGGGCCTGTCGTGTCACTGCGGGGCTCCGTGGGGACTTCACTTCAGGACCGTAGTTTGCTCTGCTTGGTGCCATGGTAGAGAACCCTGGAGCCCGGCACCGGCTCCCCTGCTCTGGCTGCCTCTTGCCTTCCCTATTTCCTCCTCCTCCTCTTTGAACTCTGCCAGCTAAGGTATGTGTGAGTGTGCTTTTCAAAGGCTGAGCGTGGAGGCTCAATGGGCGCCCTTGGAGTAGGCAGTCAGCTTGGGGAGATCACTTTCCCCAGCCCTGCCCAGGGGTCCTTGCTATTCTCAGTCTGTGCCGTGCCTCCATCCCCAGTGGGGAATCTGTCCCAGGCTATAGAGAACGTCCTGGGCATCCTGCTCTTCTACCCCGAGGATGAGGCAGCCAAGAAGGCTCTGAACCAGTACCAGGCCCAGCTGGGAGAGCCGAGACCTGGTCTCGGGCCAAGAGAGGTAATCTCTCCACGCTTACCCTGCACGGTAGCCCTGGACCAAACACATAGACCTGAGAAGTCAGCTGGGACCCCCCAACCCTTCTCCCCATTCTAGCCTTTTACACAAGCATTTCAGTCATCACAGGGGACCTCAAGTCCCTGATAGGTATTCTGTACTTCCGCACCCGAGCCCAGCCTTAGACTGTACTCTAAGTCTAGCACCCAGCTTGCTGGAAAAAGACAGAGGTGGGGTGGGGTGAGAAAGCATCCCCCAGGGGGAGGAAAGAGAGCATCCCCCACAGTCCTCTCTCCTCCATTCTCCTTTCGGGATCTTGGGCATGCACACACACACACCCGGTGTGAGTTTAAGTCACTGGGTCTGGGACTTGAACTGCGGTCGACTCCATGGGAGTTCAGCAACATAGCCATTACGCTAACCCCCCCAGGGGGGATGGTCACGCCGCAATCCCTTCTCCTCCATTCTCCTCTCGGGATCTTAGGCACACACGCACACGCACCCGGCGTGAGTTTTAAGCCACCGGGTCCGGGACACGAACCGCGGTCGACTACGTGGGAGTCCAGCGACATAGCCATTACGCTAACTGCTGGTTCCCCCTCAGTGTGTTTTTTAAGCTGCAGGGTGTGGGATCCAAACCACAGAGTCAGCCATGTGAGATCCAGCTGTCTGAACCACCACACCACCAGCTGGCCCACCTGCCCCCACTTCTTGCTCGAGAATGCACACACACTCGCACTCACACCTCTTCCAGTTTGGGCCCAGACTGGAAACTGCTGAGGGTGTGGCAAGTTGAACCGAGGAACCCAGAGGCACAGGGATTGAAGGGGTACCCCGACTGTCCCCTGGAGCCCGGGCAGCTTGTTCTCCTCCAGCCCTAACTCAGCTGCCCCCTTCTTGTCTCACCCCTCTCCTGCTGCTCATCCATGCCTGCCTCAGGACATTCAGCGCTTCGTCCTTCGATCCCTGGGGGAGAAGCGGCAGCTCTACTATGCCATGGAGCACCTGGGCACCAGCTTCCAGGATCCCGTGAGTAGCCCCACTTTTCTCCCAGCCCTCCCCTCTGCGCCCCAGGTCAGTGCCCTGCCTTTGTGTGTTGTGGTCCGCAGCAGTGTTCCCCACACTCCCACAGCTCTGTGGGCTTGGAGGAGACTCTGTCCTCCCAGTTTTTTTTTTTTTGGAGAGGTTTTTGCTATAGGGCACATGCGCTTTCCAGAAAGACAGAGACAGAAAGAGAACGCGAGAAATCACCCCCAGGGGGGATGGCCATGCCGCAATCCCTTTTCTTCCATTCTCCTCTCGGGATCTTGGGCACGCATGCACATGCGCCCGGTGTGAGTCTAAGTCACCGCGTCTGGGACTCGAACCGGTCGACTACATGGGAGTTCAGTGACATAGCCATTACCCTAACTGCTGGTCCTTGTGTCCTCCCAGTTCTACACAGAAGCGGTGTGCCATAGTTAAGGTGGCCTTGGGGTCATGCAGACCGGGGTGTCTGTCCCTCTTCTGCCACAAACAAGCAGTGGGCCTCAACTTGTCTCAGACTCAGCGTCCTTACTTGTAAATTGGAATAACCCACTGATTTCACGAGTTTGAATGACATTAGTCATCTTGTAAGAAGTACAGAAAGTTGTTTGTTTAGAATTTGCAATACGGTGCGTGGACTCACCGAGGAGAGAGAGAGAGAGATCCTCCTTCCCAGGGATGGCCACACCACAATCCCTTCCCCATCTTCCTCCTAGGATTTTGGACACACACCTATATCTAGTGTGATTTTCAAGCCACCAGGACCAGGACGCAAACTGTGCAGTTGGCCACGTGGGATCCAGCCACCTTAACCTCCATGCCACAGGCTGGCCCTCTTCTGTGACTGTGAGAGGAATCCGAGGGCAGAGGCCATCCGTAGCTAGTCCTAGAGCATAAAGCAGGGGTCCTTGACCTTGGTGCTGTGGACATTTTGACCTGGTAACTTGTTGGGCCTCTATCCCTCTATCTGGGAGACATCAATAGCGCATTGACACCCTCTGAGTCATGGTGATCAATAACATTTCCTGACATTGCCTAATGACTCCTGGGGGCAAAATTGTCCTGGTGGAAAAACACTGGTTAAAAGCAAGGACTTGGAGCCAGCGGGTGGTATGGATGTTAAGGTGCTGGATCCCATAAGGCCAACTCCATGGTTCGAATCCCAAACCCGGTGGCTTGAAAATCACATCAGGAGTGTGTGTGCCCAAAAATCCCGAGCGGAGAATGGGGGAGAAGGGATAGCAGAATGGCCATCCCCCCTAGGGGATGATTTCTCATTTCTCTCTCTCTTACTCTGTCTCCCTCTCTCTATCTCTCCCGACTGAGCACACATAGAGCAAGTACTCTGAAACTAGTTTAAACCCTAACTCTGGGGGCTGGCAGGTGGCGTGATCTTTAGAGCACTGGACTCCCACATGGCCGACCATGGTGCAAGTCTCGGACCTGGCAGCTTACTTTCTCACTTTCTCTCTCTTACTCTGTCCTTTTCTGGTCAAATTAAAACAAACAAACAAACCCTAACTTTGTCACTTACCAGCTGTGTGATCTTGGGCACGTTACTCTACATCTCTGTGTCTCAGGGTCCTCAATTGCAAAATACTTATCTGTTTGATAAGACTACTGTGAGCTCTAAGTACAAATTCTACTTTCATGCATAAAGCTCTTAGAATAGCACCCAACAAGGGTGCTGTGCACACTGTGTACAGGGTGGGTTCCAGGCCCAGGGCTCCTGACACTGAGTCCAGGTCCTCTGCAGAAGAAAGACCTTAGTGTGGTAGTTCGGGCTAATGTCAGGGATCCCAGTGGCTGGACTGGTGAGCGATGGCATCCTTCCGGACTCTTACAGGACTCCTGGACCCCTGCGGCTTTCATCCCGGAGGCACTCAGGGAAAAGCTCAGGTAGGAGATGCCCTGTGCTGGAAGGGACTTGGGGAAGGTGAGGGGACACTGGGTCTGGACTATTGTGTGCATCCACTGAGCTTGTCTCTCACCCCTGAGAGAGGATCAAGAGAAGAGGCCTTGGGACCATGAGCCTCCACAGCCGAAGCCCTTGACCTACTGGAAGGGTGAGTTCTGAGAGGGCAAGAGGCAGGATCCTGGAGGGTCTGGGGGCTGCCAGCTACTGCTCGCCTGTGTTGGGGGAATCCTCACCTGCCTCTGCCCTGTCCCTTCCCCTACAGATGTCCTGCTCCTGGAAGGAGTGACGCTGACCCAGGATGCCAGGCAGCTGAATGGGTCGGAGCGAGTGGTATTGGATGGGCTGCTCACGCCAGCTGAGTGTGGAGCGCTGCTGCAGCTGGCCAAGGTAAGAGGACCTGAGCGCTCGGCCCTCCGGGGACCACAGGCACGCTGCCTGCTCCCTTGCCCTCAGCCTGCCCCTCCCTACTCTGCCCGTGCTGACTGTCCCGCAGGGACTGTGCGTTCAGTGCCTCTCGGCTGGGGGTGAGTCCCTTTTCCTCCTAATTTAGCTGATCTGGGGTGGATGTTCTCTACAAAGGAATTGTCCTAGAAACTGATGGGAAGAACAAAACGAAAAACAAGAAGGTATAAAAAAATGGCTGAGTGTGCGGGCGAGGATGCCCTGGTTAGCTGAGTTTAGAGACTGGCGTGGCTGCCAACTCAGCAGGCACAGACATCCTGTCCTCCTGTGGGTCGACTGACTGCTGTTCACCAGCTGAGTCTACCAGGTAATGGAGCTTCAGTCCTCATTCTGGGCCGGTGCTCTCGTCACCCGCTGAATACCTGCTGTGTTAGAAGCTGCTAGGGGGCCGGCAGAGTGCATGGTGGTAGGGAGCTGGACTCCCACATGGGCGACCACAGTTCGAGGCCTGTACCTGGTGGCTTGTTTTCTCACTTTTCATTTCTCTCTCTGTCTTTCTCTGGTCAAATGAAAAATAATAACAACAACAAATAAAATTTTAAAAATGAATAAATCTTAAAAAAGGAAAAGAAACCACTAGGTTCTTGGGAGCAGCAGATGGAGTAATGGCTACGTCGCTGAACTCCTATGTAGTCGACTGCAGTTTGAGTCTCGGACCTGGTGGCTTAAACTCACACCGGGCGTGTGTACATGCGTGCCCAAGATCTCGAGAGGAGAATGGAGGAGAAGGGATTGTGTCATGGCCATCCCCCCCTGGGGGGTGATTTCTCCCTTTCTATCTCTCTGTCTGTCTCTATGTGTCTGGCGTGCCCTATAGCAAAAACTTTTAATAAAAAAAAAAAAAAAAAAGAG